CGGCCAATTTACTTTCTTTATTGAAGGTATGTTTAATTTGAAGCTTTTCAGCAAGGTGGTATGCCATATGACGAACAATTTTCCTCGTTGGAGAGAACTCTCTTTTTTTAATTTTTTAATATGAAATACTATTTTCGAGGGGTGTCTCACTAGGGTAAAAAATGTACACATATTGCCAAAATGTCATTTTATACAAGACTGCCAGTGACTGCCGACGACTGCCAGTGACTGCCGACGACTGCCAGCGACTGCCAGTGACTGCCAAAGACTGCCAGCGACAGCCAACGACTGCCGGCTCAGCGGTATCTTAAGTTCCGGGCCTTTGTCGACCCTTGACATATATTATTTATCAACACATGTACAGGGTGGGCCAAATTGGACGCTTTTAAAGGGAAACACCCTTTTCTGTAGGAGATAGACGAAGACTAATATAGGTGTCTGGAGCTTAATTTTATCAAAAACATGACGGTGAAAACCGGACATAGATATCTGTTACCGTTTCAGAATTACGGGATGTTTTTCAAAAAAGTGCATTTTTACAAATCACTGTAACTTTTTTGCTACAGAAAATTTTGTATTTTTATGAAAACATTTTCAAAGCACCTTTTTATGTAGAATTTAATGGTTTAAGAATATTTTTTTTAAAATTAACAATTTAGGAATTATGAATAGAAAATTTGATTTTTTATATGGGACACCCTGTATATTTTTAATTCATTGAAAATAATTTAACTTGATATTTTGCTCGATTCCTCTTCTCTCGAGATATACAGTTTGTAAAAATTCGCCCACTTTGAATAAGTAGGCTTTGAACGGCGGAATAATATTTGCAATGACAGATGCAGAATTTTATAACAATTTAAATTACATTTAACAACATCAACACATTTAAACTATATCTAATAACAATAAAAATTAATATCAAACCAAGATTTGAGATTTTGGTTGTTCGATATGTCAACCGTCTTCTGTTATGGACAGACGGGGCCGTTTTTGAACATTTCTCGCGGAATTAATTAACTCAGTGGGGATGAAAGATACCCTCGCATAAGTAGTTCTAATTCTTGCCTAGATTATATATGGGCAATTTCCCCAAATTTATTCTGATAACTTCACCATTCTGAGGTGGTGCCTTGTCTTGCTGGAAAAATATGTTTTCGTTTTCGATTTTTTTGAATATACAGGGTGTCCCAGAAATAAGTGCAAGTATTTTAAGGGGTGTTAAATCTCGATAAAAGAAACATATTTTCTCTTTTTCGTTTTTCAAATAAGTCCAAAATAACGGAGTTATTTTACTTTGAAAATATCGAAAAAACATGATTTTTTGCTAAAATTTTGAGAATCGCTGGATCTTTTCTGGATTTTTTTTCTTGTAAATTTAATCTAATACCTATGTTGCCATATTATCAAGAAATTATGTTTTTTAATTAAAAACTAAAAAATCCAAAAATTTTACAAAAAAAATACGAATTTAAAAAAAAAAATTCGTGGAAAAAACCTCATAGGCGTGTTTCTGGGGTTGAACTATACTACCAGTTGAATTACTTGCACTTATTTCTGGGACACCCTGTATATAGAGGGTGTTTCAAAAAGCATGTGCCATCTTTCGTGGGCAGATTTCTCACGTAAAAATAAGATTTATTTTTCATATCAACATAGGTCCGATTCTGCTTTGTTTTGTACCTACAGGGTGTTAAAGTCTTAATATTTTTTCGATTTATTGTAATTTTCTTCCAAGTGCTTTTAACGAGTCGAATGAAATTTTGAGGGTAAAAGTTACTATTAATGCGATATATTTTAACGCTAAAAAAGTGTCAACATATTCACCAGGGACGTGCATATGGGTTTTCTCTGGAATATTTTTCTAATAAAAGCATGTACGCCACTGCCTTTTTCTTCTCTTGTTAGCGCAATAGTGTAAACCGTTTAATGCCGATTAAAAGTTGTCTCTTCATATATTGTCCATTTCGCTTTTCAATTGATTCAAGTCTAATAGCAACCTTTATAAAAATTTAATATCATTAACTTGCAAAAGTTTTAAAAAGTACTTTTTGATTCCTCATCAAAAAATATGAAAAAAGTTATTATAAACATTGCTATGGAAATGCATAGTTTCATAATTACAGGGTGTTAAAACTTTTTAAAATAATTTTTTTGTAATAATTATCTTAAATATCATTATTTTTTAATTGAAATTGCTGTATGTTGGACTAATGGTAACGCTAACTAACAGTAATAATATTTAATAATAAATTAGGTAAAAATATAATTTATTAATTTTATTAATTGTGATTAATAAAAAATGGCGTTTATATCATCCAGGAGGCCGAAGTGGGCAAAATATCAAGAGATAACTTTTAATTGGCATTGAACGGTCTACACAATTTTGATATCAAACGAAAAAAGTCAGTGGCGCACATGTTTTTTTTTGAAAATATCCCAGTGATAACCCAACAAAAGTGTTAATAAATGCACGTCCCTGATGCATTTATTAACACTTTTTTAGCATTAAAATATGTAACATAGTAACATCCTCAAAACTCCATTCAAATCACTAAAAGTACTCGGAAGGAAATTATAATAAATCGAAAGATTATTAAGACTTTAACATCCTGTAGCTACGAAACAAAGCAGAATCGGAACTATGTTGTTTTGAAAAAAATAAGTCTTATTTTTACGTGAGGAATCTCCCCACGAGAGATGGCACATATTTTTGAAACACCCTGTATAATTTTGTTTTTCGATTAGGGGCAGATCATCAATAAGAGGTCCACAGCCTACTAGATAAAAGTGACGAACTTTTAAAATTCTGTATTTCAACGGGGACTATAACAAAATATTAAGTGTGCTACATTTCTGGAAAGGTAATTTTAAGTTCTTTTCATTTAATTAAAAATATTCCCAGAGTGTCCCAAATAAAAATCAATTTTTCTAGTGATAACTCGAGAAACTTACTATTAATTTTAAAAAATTATACTTAAATCATTAAATTCTATGTAAAAAGGTGTTTTGGAAATGTTTTCATAATGCATACAGAATAATACAACAACATAAAAAGTAATGTTTTGTTTTTACTTACTTACTGACAGCTACGACTGTCGACTGCTTCAACGTATCTGTACCCCAGAAGCAAACTATAGGGAACTCTAGGGTACAGGATCGGGTACTGAGCAAATAAGTTTAAATTTTTATTTTAAACGTATTTGGGTACAGGTATGTAGTTTGTATACTAATACTAAATCGCTGGTGCGTCGGACTGAATTCATCTGTGATCAAGTCGCATCGGCTGCGTCTCGACTGCTAGAGCGACCAGTTAAATCGCAGTCGCTGCTTAATTATGGCGCGTTTTTACCAGCTACGAAATTTTAATATAGAAGAAATAAACAATAGCCTTCCAATTACGAAGATGAAAATTATAAGAATTTTATTTTTTTCCCTGATTAGGCAACTTTCTTGGACCCATTTACTTCGAGATTTACTCCTATGCCAAAATGTTTATAATTGTTATCCCCGAATCATATATAGATGGGTATATTTGTATTTCTTTGGTTGAAATTTCAAAAATTATTTTTTTTTATAAAAATGAGAAATTTAAAATTATTCAGGGTTTCTATTTTGCACAAAAATAGTTATTTGTACTTATTCAGGCCTATGTTATATACGAAACATATAAACTATAATTAATCTATTTCACTGTCTATTTATTTAATTGGTGCGTCTCGATTCTAGATCGAGACGCACCGGGCCTCAGGTGGCACCGAAAGTACGTCGCAGGCGCTCTGTGTAGTTTATTTATGGTCGATGCCGGTAGTCTGCGGCAACCACAAAAACGCGCATTGTATAACCGGGATTAGTCGTACCAGTAAAAAAGTATGTATTATAATTTTAAGAATAAAGAATCTACAAATTTGCGTCACTGATAATTTTTACCATATCGAAATCTAACATTTCTCTAAACAAATTGAATTATTACAAAATCTATTAATTTTAATATATAATATCATATCGAGGGTCACAAGCTTGGTCACAAGGCATGGATCTCGTATAATTTTCTAATAAAATTATATTATTTTTTAAAACAATTTTTGCGATATTTTCACAAAAATAATTCAAAATATTTCATTTGATAATGAAGTATTGATAACTCGGCTCTATAAGATAATTCGTTTAAAAAAAATTATAATAATTTAATATAAAATTGGGTATGTTTAAAAAATGATACGAGTTACTGCACTGTGATCTTCGATATGCAAAAAAGTTACCGAATTGTACGTAGAATCTAATTCTAAAATAAAAATAGGGTATTCTCATTAAAAATATATGTTATATCCGAACGACAATCAACAATCACAAATCCAAACATTTTTTGAAGTACCCTGTATACTCTACAGTAATTTTAAAATGTGCTTCTTAACCTTCCCTATAACTTTTCTGTTTAACATTTTGTTCCAAAAAGCGTTAAAAAAAAACAAAACCAAAACATTTTTCATATACCTTGAAGTCGTTAGCTTTTCATTATCTATTATACTGCAGGTATTATGATTTAATTTAACATCATTAACCATAAAACAAAAATCTATCTGAATGTATCTGAAATTTTCGAGAAAATTTTCTTTTACCCGATCATCACAGGAGTCGTTTTATATATATTTTGTTAAACAAGAATTATGCTGCAAGGTTTTTTTACATTAAATTAAAAAAAAAATATATATATATATATATATATATATATATATATATATATATATATATATATATATATATATATATATATATATATATATATATATATATATATATATATATATATATATATATATATATATATATTTGCTTCAAAATTGACAAGTTTTTATACAAAACATCCCGAAATTTGCCGATTGACTTCTGAATTCCAAAAGACTGCCAGTGACTGCCTAGCGACTGCTAGTGACTGCCGCGACTGCCAAGCGACTGCCGATCGACTGTCGAGCGACTGCCTATGACTGCCATGTAATTATAGGCGACTGCCGTAAGACTGCCTAGGACTGCCAGCGACTACCAAGAAAATGTACATGTAATTCCAACAGTGAGACACCCCTCGACTATTTTTCTCTCATTTTCTAATCCTAGAACCGATGGTGAACCCAGACTTTTCTTTTTAGTATCACCTCTGACCAGTCTTCTACGAAGTGTCGTGTAAGGAACCTTAAATTCCCTGGATGCCTCATTCACTCCCATATTTCCTGATCGCACAGCCTGCATTGCCATTTTTAACATTACTTCGGTCCATGTTGCCCTGGAACAGTTTCCTTTTCGTCTATAGTTAGTTGGCATCTAAAAGAAAAACAGATTTCAGCTAAGTATTTTGTCAAAATTAGGTGAGGTGGCGTGCGCCATCTAACCCAACTGTGTTGGGTAAGATGGCTTAGTCACGTGCTCTCCAACAAATAACTTGTCGGTAATTTTGAGTTTAGAAAACAATAAATGCCTCTATTTCAAAGCCATAATTTTACAACTAGTAAAAACTCTAGCCAGTTTCACTTTTATATAATTAAATAAATGATTGTCTAGAAAAAAAAATACGGTATGGTAATACGAGTGTATAAAATTGATAATTTACTTCCCTTTATTCCTCAACGCGTGATAAACGGCTCATGTTATTTCAGACAAATGAAGGTCGTTAGCGATGGCGACGTTGCCGGCTTATATTTCGTTAAGAAAATATTGCACTGCGCCATCTCTACCGGTTTTATCCTATGCTTGTTGGAAATCTTTCTGTACATAGAAATTAATGGATCAGACGAAAGTAGAAGAATTATTAGTTAAATCTATATTTGGTACTTTTCCTACTGGTTTTTCTTGTATGACATAATCGATTTCTTCTAATCTCCTTATGAGTTGCCTCTAAGGCCTCCTCGGAAAGGATGCCAATAGGGAGATCAAAAGAATTGATCATTTCACAGCTATGTATTAGTAACTTGTGGACACTACTAGGTAGGTAGTACCAGCTGTATAACTGCAAATACAGGTCAAAAGTTTCGTTGAGAAGTTCCTTAAAAGATTCAATATTTACTTTTTGCCCACAAGATAGAATCCTTAAAATAAAATAAAATTTTTCTATCAGACTTTTATCAGTTTTTGTTATTTCTGAACTAACTGAGGAATTACTAAAAAATCTTCGGGTAGTGTTGCGATCATTACTTGTGCCATATTCCAGTTTGACTTTATCCACTATTAATCCTACGCGACTTTTGAATTCTTTTTGAATGCCTTTTTTATTATTTTGAACTAAAGCATTTTCTTCTCAGGTTCTTGCTTGTCACTTCTGAATAGGAAGTTTGTACGCAGTATGCAAGAGGCATTCAAAACGTCTTATACATGAATGTAATATGGATAAGCCAAACCGGCAATTTTCTGGTTTTGTAGATTTTTCAGTACTTATAATAATAATTAAGACCCGAACTGCCATCAAACCGCATTTGCAAATAAGTTTTAAATTATGTACATCACTGTTAATAGTAAGCATTTTTAAAATATTCATAGCTGTATAATTTAATAATGATTATAATTTTACTTCTGCCGATCTTTTTGTTGCTTTTATCTCAAAAGGTTAAAATGATTTTTTTATTTCTCTAAATTTTTTATGTTAGGACAGCAATTATGGTGGAAAGTATTTAGGAAATTTCTTAGTCTTATATATTTTCTGTCTGTCAGATACATAAAGTAAGTGTATACATAAAGTTAATATATTTTCAGGTGTAGGACTCGAATGTGCTTCTTTTTTCATAGTACGTTTCTCCGAAAGTTGCATCGCAAAAGCTAACTCATCTGAGCGGGAAAATAAATCTTGTAACCCTTCGTTTCTTTGTTTTTGAAGATGATTATAGGAAATCTGGTTTAGGCCTTTCACGTCCACGACTCGGTCCCGCTAGGGCCTCTCATTCCATACTTAAATTTTGTGATTCTTCTGAGTCTGTTTCATTGAATAATTCTTCAGGTATCGTAATTTCATTTTTTAACCAATCGGAATAACGCTTTTGAAAATATATTTTGTTTCGTCCATATATATTTCATTTGGCGCTCAGAGAATTGCAAAAATCTATTAATATTTATATATTTTATTCATACTTTGGCTTTTCTTTTCAGAACATTCTTCTAAACCCGACATAGATTGAATTTTCTTGAAAACATTGCTAACTTTTATATTTTTGTGAGAGGCCAACCATTCATCTAACAGGTCTGCATTTTTTATTTTCACACATTCTAAAAGAAAAAATAGGTGATAAAAATTATTTTTTTCTGACTAATCCAATGTTGAGATTGTTATTATGTTTATTGAATTTTACTTTTTATTCAATGTTATTATTTTTATCTACAACCGTTTAGTTATAACGTTTTTACATCACTATTTTATAGTATTTCAGTTACGTTGTGATATTCATAACACAACTAGTGGTGTTATGGATCTATAACACAACTAGTTTTATAATAATGAAAAACAACTACGAACATCTAAGTATATTAATTCTTGATACAAATTCCTGCTACTAATAATTATTATAAATATTAATAACACATTTTTTACACTTCTTCAAAACAATTCCTGCTGCTGATGATGATGACGATGATAATAATGAAGGTCTAACTGAAAGGTCTAAGGTCTGTCTGTCACAATTATAATTAAAAAAATGTGACAAATGTCATAGTTAACCCTCAACTGGCGTGGTGGGGTCTAGCGGACCCCAAGTACTATTTAAACTAACGTAAAATGTTTATGTTTAGCATTTAGGCCTAGCCGCGCCATTTACCTTTAAGTTAGAGTACCCATATGCAACTGTTAAACGTGCACTTGTTTTTATCAAGTATTGTTCCTACCAGCGGGGGATAATGTTGCATTGGGGTCTGTGTGGCACCACTACGCCAAGAATGTTTCATTATTTGAATGGTGGGTAGTTCAAAAAGTGTGCATTCCGGCAACGCTAATTTTGAGGAAACATTAACCGAGTGCTACAATGAACTTAAAGAGACTTATGTGATTTGAAGATCATCGAGACAATGATTTTTCTCCAAAGAGAAACTATAACTCCGATTCCGAATCTGTTACCTGTCGAAGAGAGAGTATTAAATAATCAGTAGTGGAAACGAAAGAGATGTGATATAATATGATAAAAAAACAAAAATCTCCTGAAACAAATGTGCACCATCCATGTACGGTACCTGAAGATCGTATGTTAGCAAGAACTGTATTTGAAAAAGTTATATACATTCAGGGTTTGCAATTTTGTTGAAAATAATGTATGTTTATTACTTTAGCTTCACAGTTCAGTTGTTTGTGATTTTAATAATACGAGAAAATCAGAAAATATATATGTTTTTTTAATTTCTATGGTTTTTTTAGCCAACTGATATTTCTGTTGTCAAAAATTCCTAAAAAATGCATTTTACTTTATTTTTGTGTCCGTTCTTATTAATTTATTGAAAATGAATTACACTATTAATTCGCAAGTTTGAATATATTGTAAACAGTGCTAAAATAACAAACTTTTTATAAAATCTCTTCCCCATTTATTCTTAAATGAAAAAAAAACAAACAATTGGGGTCTATCGGACCCCAGAACGCCATAAGCGATGCAAAATTTCACCACGCCAGTTGAGGGTTAAAGGTGGGCAACTAATAAACGAAAATTAAAACAGCATTTTTTTATTTTTCGGTACTACCTCGTCGTTCTAATCGTTCACACTCGTTGTTGTAATCATGTTCATAAACACACTTGTACTGTAAATAACTATTATTGGATTCCCTGTTTAGTTTGCTGCTAGGCTGAGAGATAAATAACTGAAAAAATGTGGACACTGAAATTCCTCCAAATTATCTGCACTTCCCCGAAATTTCTCGCCATTCCCCTGAAATTACCCCGAAATACCCCTTGTCTTGTACACTGAAATTTCCTAATGGATTGCCCCTCAGTTTGCTGTATATTAGTACCAAAATATTAAGATCCGAAGTTGAAAGTAAATTCAAATAAATGTTTTTTTCTCAGAGCAGGTAACGCATTCCATGAAAAAAAATATTACACCTTTTTAAATTCTTTTAATTGAAAACGAACAGTATTTAATATTGCCTCTACCGATGATATGAAAATTTGGCGAAACACGTCAATTTACATATCAAGGGGAACAATTTTTGAGGCATTTGTTGTCGTGTTACTTTCAACTCCTTGACCCCCACGGCACCTACCCCGAAAATTTTAAATAGCAACCCCTATTTCTTTATAATATTTTTTCAGTAGTAATAATAAAGAATATATTTTTACAGTAGTAAAAGGGTCCTATTTAAAAATTTAATCCACTTACAATAATCATTTTACTTGTTGAATTTTCAGTAATTTCTGCAGCGGTACTCATTATAAGTGGAGGCAACTGTAAACTGTATTATAGGTACAATGAACAAAAACGATATAAAATTAATTGCACTGCTACCAAAATCTAATATGTTTTTCATTTAGCTCGATTGCAAAGTTGTTATCTTGTTTACTCTTTCGGTTATTTTCCAAATGAAGGATATTTATTCTGACGCATTATTTATCTAAAATTTTCTTCGAAATATATTGCAATAACACACTATTTTCCAATTAAATAATTTGTAAATTCGAATCTGTTTTGAAGGTTTATTAGTGTTATCACATGTTTTTTTATTATTCTAATATATGATAATCAATATGTTTATTGATAACCTATTCAAAGTACGAATTATTCTGTATTATTAATATGTTACTTTGTATATATTTTTTATTACTAATAATCTATCAAAATACGTACATATCACTATCACATGTTTCTAAAATGTAAAAATTTTTCTTCAATTTTAATATATAATATCAAGCTAGCGTGTATTCGATTAACAGTTTACAAGAGCGAATTAAGATATATATTTTTCTTTGTTAAGCTTACTCTACAAGAAGAGTGAAAATATTATTAATATAAGTAAGTATATAATATCTAAATATATCTGTTAATATAAGTAAGATAGTATCCCATATTAATATATTACTAATAACCTTCAAGATGGAATCAAACAAAAAAGTTGCAATGGTTCATCCATTCAGTAAAAACGGTGAGGTATTGTGTATGGGGGGGTCACATAGAACACCAAAAATAAATATGATGGGTTTATGTGACAATTGTGCAAGGCCCCCCAGCAATATTATAGACCTCACCGGACCTGATGATCATGCACATCAACAAGAGGAACAACTCAGAGGAACAACAAACCAAACTCAGAGGACAATAAGATATCATCCATATCAAAGGGTGATGCAAGAAGATTTCGATGCACAGGATTTATTAACACTTCTCAATGAACGCTTTCCTGAAAATATCCAAGGATTTGTTAATAATCCTCAGTAGTGAGTATCCTAAGACTAGCTAGCATAGTTGTCTATGTATATTGTATATATGTTATTAGGAGTTTTTTATTTACAACAATTTTTTTACAACTGATTTTAGACCTCACCAGTCTGATGATATTGAGCAAGAGCTATAATCTGTATATAGTATATATTAACAAGCTCTTTTTATTTACAACAGTTTAGAATTTTCATATTACATATCCTCATTAACTTAGCTTTTTAATTTAAAAACTGTTTTTGGATACACAAATTCGAGAGATCCTTTAGATTTAATCTTGAATACATTTTACTTAGAATAACATGATCAATATTAAAGGAAATAAAAATTTAGAATTTAAAGTTAATAGCAAGTTTACAAAAAACATTCGGAGAGAATTATAGGAAAGTGAGATCTACTAGAACATAATAAATTAAAATTTTAAATGTAAACAAGCCTTCTAAAACTGAAATTATAAATATTAAAGAATTAAAAAGCTTATTATTGGAGATTCTTGGAATAGAGTTACTACTATAATGTTATTCATATTATATTATGATTTGAATCTAGAATAGCTTAACAAAGCCTACAAAAATATTAAATCTTTAGATATACCTAAAAGAGTCATAACTGTTTATTGTCTGAAATGTAATGAAATAATAAACATTTATATAAAACCTACTAAACTACTCTTTAAACCTAGGAAAAAAGGGGATATGTTCTATAAAATAAAGTTGTTTAGAAATTAAGACCTATTTTTTATTATTAATGTAATACTGCTGTATTTTAGTAATTAATATTAGGGTAAATGAAACACTTTTACTAATCGTTATACTCTCGCCTTGCTAGCACGGTACGGAGTGAATCCCCTCCTCCCAGTTCACCGGCTTGGCTTAAGTTATCATTTATTACATCATAATATATCAAACAGTTTCTTATAACTTATAACAACTATGTTCCAATATGCTACATCTCTCCTTTTTTTTTTTTTTTTACACAATGTTTTACATAACTAGACAATACATTCATAAACAAAATCCTGATCAACTACGCTAGTATATGACATAACCAGCCAAAACATAATAACAATATAATATAACTATTAACAATAATATTAAACTCTCAATCTAAATGTATAATGCAAACAACTAAGTACCTTAATAAATATTAAATATAACCTAAAAACCTAACACAACTATATAATAATATAAGTATAATATATAATAATATGTATAATAATTTAATAAATAATCTGTACAAATTTTTATGTACTTGTTTGTTTTCCTATTATAACTTATTCTATATTATTTGCTCGATATTTTTAGTGTTTGGACTTTTACATACTTGCCACTCTCCTTCCACTCTTTTTAAATGAACCACATTTCGCCTAAGTCTTTCCCCATTTTCGCTGTTTTCAAGTTCTATATCACCCCCTTTTTTGTTACAATCGTATGTGGAACAGTTCCAAAATCACTAGTTAATTTGTTATGTTTTATTACATTTTTTACGTAAACTTTCTATCTATCACCTCTATCCAAGTCGTTTTCTTTTGCTTTCCTTTTTTTATTAGCATATTCTTTGCCAATTTCTTTTTGCATGTGATCTTTATCTCTTACCTCCCCATCTAAACCACGATAATCTTGCCCTATTAAACTAGGTATTTTATCCCTGAATTGTCTGTTAAAAAACAATTCGGCTGGCGTTTTTCCTGTAGTAGAATGAGGTGTACTATTATACATTACAAGGTAATTTTGCAATTCCGTAAGCCAGTCCTTTTTTAAAGAATGGCTTATTTTAAGCCTCTTTAATATGTCTTTGTTTTGTTTTTCTACCTTCCCATTTTGATGAGGCCAATAAGGTATTGTGTGGTGTAATATGATTGCTCTTTCAGAACAAAAAGACCTCATTTTACTACAGGAAAACTGTTTTCCATTATCCGCTGTTATGGACACAGGGTTACCCAACCGAGAGAACACTTCCCGAAGAACCCTGATTATATCCGCAGCAGTAATTTTTTTCATTATTTTAATTTCTTTGTACCGACTATAATAGTCGACTATAATAGCGCCAAACCAAACAAATGATATCCATTGGGCAAAGGGCCCATAAAATCTGTTGCTACGTCAATCCAAGGTCCTGCGGGAAATTCTCGTCTTTTTATTGGATTAGGTGGATTTGGCGCTGAAACTAAAGTACACCCTTTACAATTTTTTACTATTTTTTCCGCTTCAGTATCAATGTTTGGCCACCAAACCTTGGTCCTTAGTCACGCTTTCATGGCAACAATACCAGGATGCCCTTCGTGAGCCGCTTCCAAAACCGCTTTACGCAACTGAACAGGAATTACGATTTTATTACCCCTTAAAAGAATATTGTCATAAAAACAAAGTTCATTTTCAAACATACGAAATTTTTTTACACAATCGTCCCAAACGTTTTCGTACAAACCTCTTTTTACTTTACTAATTTCATGGTCGCTTTTGGAACATTCTTTTATTTGATTTAAAGAGATCGCAACCGGACACGTGAATTGAACGATGCTGTGTACGTACTCATCTGAATCAAAATTAGTTTTTTCTGAATTTACAATACATAGCCTTGACAGCGGGTCGGCAATGTTGTTTTTGCCTGGTTTATAAACTACTTTAAATTTATATGACTGCAGTCGTAACACCCATCGTTCAATTCTGGCACACGGTTTAGAATTTGGCCCAAATATTGCTTCCAGAGGTTTGTGGTCGGTTACAAGTTCAAATGTTTTACCAAAAAGGTATATCCTAAAATGTTCCACCGCCCACACTAATGCCAGAGCTTCTTTTTCGGTTTGGCAATACCGTTTTTCGCAATCTGAGAGACTTTTGTTACCAAATGCTATTATTCTGGAACCCTCTTGATTAATTTGAACCAAAACCGCCCCCAAACCTACCGGACTAGCGTCTGCAAAGACTTGAGTTCTCTCCTCTGAATCATAATAACCTAATGACCTTATCAGGGATAATTGATCTTTTAATTTTAAAAAGCATTTTTTTTGAGCCGAAGTCCAATAATTTGCAATAGTAGCAGTTTTACTCAATTTTAATCTCAATAATTTTCTAAAAGGTTCAGTGAGAGTGGCAAGGTGCGGAATCCATTTTCCAATAAAATTGATTAAACCTAAAAAACTTTGCAACTCTTCGATAGTTTTAGGAGCCCTAAAAGTCCGAATACTTTCTATATAACTATCTAAAGGTCTTACACCTTTTGAAGACAAAACATGACCTAAAAAGGTGATTTCTTTTATTTTAAAAGCACACTTATCGCTATTAAGAAGAACATAATTTTTAATCTTTTCAATGTTGCATCCAAATTATTGTCATGTTCTGTTTCATTAGATCCAAAAATGACAATATCGCCAATAAAACTTATGACTCCCTTAAGGCCCATAAGTATATATAATTCTAGTGCACAAGATATTCCAAACAATAATCTTTTATACCTAAATAAACCTTTATTTGTTATAAAAGTTGTAATTTCACGCGACTCCGGAGATATCTCGACTTGATGAAATGCGTTCTTTATATCAAGCCTAGAAAACAATTTAGCTTTTCTTAAATGAGGAAGCAGGCCATTCATTGTAGGAAATGGATGGTTTTCGCGAATAATAGCGGTATTAGCTCGGCGCATATCAATACAAATCCTGATATCTCCGTTTTGCTTTAAAATGGGAACCATAGGTGAAACCCACCTTGACGGACCGTTGACTGGTTCAATAATATCAAGTTCGATAAGTTCATTAATCTTTTTTTCCACTTTTGCCTCTAGAGGAATCGGGATCCTTCGATACGGTTGGCAAACTGGCTTAATATTTTTATCTATTGGTATATCAATCAAAACGTCCTTAAATTTCGGAAAAACTTCAATAGAATTTATTTCAAGGCCGATTTTCAAAACACCTAACGCCATTTCTGTTTCTTTTCCGAAAAGATTTTTTGATCCGTTTTTGATCACATAAAAAGTAGAACGTTTTGTTTGATCTCCAATAGATATTTCCACATC